AAGGATATATGCGCTTTCTGCCACTGAAATATACACAGTTGGCAGGGATTGTTCAGAATGGATATGAATTATTTGAGAAAGTGGCTATTGTTTGCTAGAAAAGACAGGTCGTATGAAACTAAATTGCTCGGGCATGCTTGGACACCAACGTGCGACAACAAAATATCAGGTTCGCCGGGTCCAGTGACCGTATTTAACAACGAACCCAGTGGGTAAGCGAAAACAGTGCCACTGTGTTGGATCGATATTCACAAAACGCAGTGCTGGGTTCGCCAACCCACTAGCTTCGTGAACACCGATCTCATGGTTAAGCCTACCCAGTGGGGTTCCGAAACCCATTAGGTTCGTTGATAGATACGGCCACAGGACATCGCAAAAGACAGCAAGAGCGCCATCTTGGTTTGACGTTAGAGATAAATTTGGCCAACAGGATAACGATGGCAAAGTTCCGGCATAAAACTCCGTCCAGAGTTTCTCGGAACAACCGAGGCGTTCGAGTTCGAAGCAGCCAGGACAAGCAAATTCCACACTTTCTGCTTACTTGACCAAAAAATGGCACGAAGGCTGCTAGATGCTATAGATGCAGGACTGGAAAATGACCACAAAAGGTATACTTCCCAAGAGGTAAAAGTTCAGAAACATAACAGAAAAGAAAGAACTCACGTCAAATTCTATTCCATGCACTCCAATGAGTCTATTTGGATTCCGTTCTACATAATCTATGAGAGCGCTCATTTCGGAAAATGGCGGATTTAGTCGTTCATCAACAAAAAGCACAAAACCGTTGTCGCATACTCGTTGCAGAGAAGCAAAGTCGATAGACTGAATAAAAGTCAAATATATCCGAGAAGGGAAAAGTAACAGTACTGGACTGTCAAATATTGATCAAACTCATATATTCAGGGATGAAAAGAAAACTCACCCTATTGTTGATCAGTACAAATTCTAAAGCCGACTTTGTACCGAAATCTGCTCCAACAGGAGGAACGCCACGTGAGTTCGGCCACAGAATAACAATCTAAAAACCATTTACTTTGTCCAGTGCTGCACAGTGAACTAAACAAAAGCGACATACCTTGCGAAGAGACTCAATCTTTGCCACATTCAGAACAACTTTCTGAAGCCTAGACGATGGCTTTTCTGAGGCTCTTACGACTACGTTCACGCCATGTGCAGATTTCGTCGCATCAATTGGATGAAGATGATTCCACTGCGTGCGTTCTTTAGCCTCTGCTATTCGCATACGTTCCCACACAATCTAAATCTTTACACTTGCCCTCATTACAAAAAATCCGACGCTAAACGGAAATTGATCAAATTTTTAGAAACTCACTTCCAGTGCGGTTATAGCAATCTTTTCAACGCTGCTGAAATATCTCTGATAGATGAAGAATCCCCGCTGCTTCATCTGGTAAATCTTTTCAGCTGTGAATGTGTAAAGAAGGTCAGGCACCTAAACGAAACCACATCGTAAATTCGCAGATCTAATTCATATTGGAAACACTATGAAATTTTGACAGTACCAGCAGAACACTGTCTTCAGGCACGACAACCGCTGCAGCCGACCAATCAATTACTTCATCAAACGGTAGTACCCAGTCATCGGACAGCACTACAGGTATGCATCCCATCCGCAAGGCTTCAAGAAACCTAAAAACTCCAGGGTTACAACAATTTTCTACCCTAGACCAAATATTCGATGTGTAGAACTATATCT